TTCAGCCATGTGGAAGAGAGTGTGGTGATTCCTCAAGGATCTAGAACCAGAAATACCATTTGACCAAGTAATCCCATTACTGGGTATATACCCAAAGGATTATAAATCATTCTACATGCACCTGTATGTTTACTGCAGCACCGTTCACAATAGCAAAGACTTGGAACCAACCCAAATGCCCATCAGTGATAGACTGGATAAAGAAAATGTGGCATATATATACTATGCAGAATACTATGCAGAAATAAAAAAGAATGAGTTCATGTCCTTTGCAGGGACATGGATAAAGCTGGAAACCATCATTTTCAGCAAACTAACACAGAAACAGAAAACCAAGCACTGCATGTTCTCATTCATAAGTGGGGGTTGAACAATGGGAACACATGGATACAGGGAGGGGAACATCACACACTGGTGCCTGTTGAGGGTTGGAGGGTTAGGGGAGGGGTAGCATTAAGAGAAATACCTAATGTAGATGACTGGTTGATAGGTGCAGCAAACCACCATGGCACGTGTATATACCTGTGTAATAAACCTGCACGTTCCACACATGTATTTCAGATACATGTATTAAGTGTGAAAAGTATAATAAAAGTATGTTTCTATTAAAGACAAAATCTTATATACTGCTAATACCGCTGTGGTTGGTTTACTACAACAATTTGTAATTTAAGGAAGTATAAATTTCAGCTCAACGTTACTGAAAATTCAGGACCTTTTTTTTTTTTTTTCTATTCACGTGTATGGTCCTCTGCTTTAGAAAGTATTGGTTTTATTTTAATTTTAGAGTTCATAGATGTCTCAAGCTTCTGCCACATACTCTGCTATTTTGGTTTTGCCCTATTTATACCTCTCTGGGGTTTATTCCATCTAATTGGTCCTAGTTTATTTTATGTATAAAAGTTCTTGAGTTGAGAGCTCTATTTCCTGACATTTTAACATAGCCATCCAGAAGTTTTTAGTTAGGAGCTTGCATCTGAAGGTGATGGAGTGTTATCTCAAATGGCGAAGGGAAGGAGTAAAGTTCCAGAAACAAATGCAAACTGTGAGAAGGGCAATTTTGTTCTTCTGTCCTGAGGATTATAGTATGTTCAGTTAGGAAGTATTTATAGAGATTATTTACTTAAAGGAATGTGAAAAATAATATGGAAGATCCAGTTTTTAAAAAGTATATACATTTGTTTAGAACTTTGGAGTTCGTAAAACTATTTAAATGCAGTATCTGGCTTGATAATTACAGCCCCATAATAGATTTGACAGAATTATTATTCCCAACTGTTGGGTGTGGAAACTGAGGTTTGGCAGCATATTTGAAGATAAATAGCTACAACCTTACATCTTCAAGGTTTGCAATTTACTGCTCTTTTGAATTATGTACCCAGCCATTTTATTAGGTATATGACTGTTCTTAGGGCTAAACATGGATATAGAAAAATAGCTTTTATATTTTAGATAGAATCCTTAGTTTATTTTATATCTCCTAAAATGTCATTGAAACCTCATTTTATTAAGGCTTATAATAGGGGATTATTAGTGCTATTTTCATGACCTTGAACTGTGCATTTCAGTTAAGTAATTCTACCCTAGTTGATTTGCCATGGGAATACTTTGGACTTTGATAAAAGGGCCAGTTGTTTGGTCATTTTCTTTTCATTTTTAAAACTGCACTGTTGAATAATTCACTCAGTAGTACATACATAAACGCAGTGCTTATGGCTATTAGTGATGGGGAAAAAATCACAAAGAAATTTGATTATCCTACAACAGAAGGTAGACTATATATGAGTACAAATTTGGAATAAGTTTTTTAAAGGAGACAAATTGTAGATGCTCAATAAATATTGGTTAATGAATATTATTTTTAAAATTAATGAATGAGTTAATTGAATTCCATGAGGTATGCTATTAGGAAGGAAAGATACAAGCATGAAAATATGCTGATTCTAGGATGACAGAGTGTGTGTAAATAGATTACACCACAGTTGGTTACCCCATAATGAGACGTGTGTATTTGGTTTCAGTAAAATTCATACTAGTTCAAAATAAACTCTTGATACAGAAATTTTTCAGCAATTCACTAAAATGAGGTGAATTGACTATCTTTGATGCTTTTGAAGCTTTTAGTACTATTTTCAAAATTTTTATTATTATGATTTGCCATATTTACCTCTCTGTATTTTCTCACTAAGTGCCATTTGAGGGGTATAGACAGTAATTCTGTATGGTTTCAGAGGAAGGAGCTGCCATTTACTAGGATACTTGTGGAAGAATTAAGATATCTGCACTTTGAAATATGGCACAATCTAGCCAATCAGAATTGTGTGGGAAGACATTCTAGACAAATGGACTACATTAGGAAGGCATAGAGGAGATGTTTAAAAGTAGATCATTTTGATTAGAGCAGAAAGTTTGTGTTGTGGAAAAAAATGACTTAAGAGGTAATTTGGGACCAGGTGATACAGACTCTTGAATACCTGGAAGGGATTTGGATTTTGTTCAGAAGGCCTATACTCTTGTAATTAGAATATACATTCTTGTGTGGGCACAACTACATGGGATGTGCAAGTCCACAGGATAAACACAGCACATCTTCTAGGAGCATCACTTTTTAGAATACTTGAGGGAAAATAAATATTTTTATATGAGGATATATATTTTTTTGACACAGAGTCTCACTCTGTTGCCCAGGCTGAAGTGAAGTAACAATCATGGTTCACTGCAGCCTCGACCTTCCCAGCTCCAGTGATTCTCCTGCCTCAGCCTCCTGAGTAGTTGGGACTACAGGTTGCCCACCGTCACACCCAGCTCAGTTTTGTATTTTTTGTAGAGGTGGAGTTTTACATGTTGCACAGGCTGATCTTGAACTCCTGGGTTCGAGCAGTACTCCCACTCCAGCCTCCCAAAGTCCTAGGATTATAGGTGTGAGCCACTGCAGGCATGAAGATAGATTTATAAAGTATTAAACAATTCACATGTAATTTTAAAGTAAAATGCTAAGATTTAAGCTAAGATCCCAATATGATTCTGAAAGAAATTTGTGAATATAGTAAGTTATTTTATCCTGCAACTCCAGAAGGATTTGTCTTCATTATCCTCTGCTGTTATTCTTCAATAGATGAGTTTGAAAGACACAGATCCAAGCAGTATGCATCCATTACAAATTTCTTTTCAGAAGATTCACAGGGAGAGGGACATAAAATTAGGAGGAAAGAGGAGACTGCTTACATAATCTAGCACTCAAGTTAAAGACAGTTTTTGGAAGAAAACTTGTAAGATTAAGAGACATTTCAAGAGAAGATTATATTGGACTTGGTGCTTACGATACAGAAGAGGTAGTTTACAAAGTTAAGTAAAAAGCTAAAGATGTCTTTCAGGTTCCAGGCTTCTGTGACTGGGAGCATGGTGGTCATATTAATGGATATGAAGAAGTGAGGAAGATGGTGTGAAAAAGTAGAAAGGAAGGAAAGGTGGGTAGAAAGGGGTAGCAGTAGCAGTAAAGGGCTGGTGAATTTGTTGTTGATTTATTTTGAGTCAGAGTTTCATTCTGTTGCCTAGGCTGGAGTGTGGTGATGTGATCTCAGTTCACTGCAACCTCTGCCTCCTGGGTTCAAGTGCTTCTCTTGTCTCAGCCTACTGAGTAGTTGAGACTACAGGTGCATACCACCACGCCCGGCTAATCTTTTGTATTTTTAGTAGAGATGGAGTTTCACCATATTGGTCAGGCTGGTCTCAAACTTCTGACCTCAGGTGATCCACCCACCTCAGCCTCCCAAAGTGCTGGGATTACAAGCGTGAGCCACCATGCCCAGCCTGTTATTTTTTATATGTTGAATTTGAGTGGAGTATAGGGTATTGAAGGGAGAAATGGCAGATAGGCAATGTAAGAAGGGGAACTGGAAAGAGACTTGGGATGAATATGTAGATTTTGGAATCTTGTTTATGGTAAATAGATGAGTTCTTGAGAGCAAATAGAATGTCTGAGGGTCAGTGTAGAAAAGATGATTGAAGGTTGTCCATTGGAGCACAGTACTAAATATGAGAAAGGAAAAGGATTATAAAGATTGATTCAGGTAAGGGGTAATCCATGGAGAGTATAGTAGTATTGTGAAAGCAAAATGAAGGTCAAGTTTGAAAAAAGGGTATTAGTATTGGTGAGTGTAGAGAGATCAAAGGGAAGGTAGACTGAGAGATCAAAGGGGAGTAGACTTTGCTTAGATTAGACAACTGTGAGTTAGTGGTGGAATTTGAATACTTTAAGCAAAGTGTAGTTAGGACAGGAGACAGTCTTGTGAATCATAAGGAAAAGAGCTCCTTTCTCTTCTACTAGCTGTATCTTTCTGGTAGGAGAAAGCTTTATATGGGGAAAAAGTCTAATTTAGTATTCCTAAAAGGAACAGAATGAAACATGTCCTATGAGAGTTTTTTTTTTTTTTTTTTTTAATGGAAACCAAATAGAGGAGGCAACTCATATATTAAATAATTAATTATTTTTCATTTGAAATGGTCCACTTTTGCGGGGAAAGGGGAGCCATTTTGGCGTTCTGGCCCTAAAAAAAATCAGCGTTAATTTCGGCAGCTTAGTCTGTGGTCCTAAAAATTATGGCTTATTTTTACCTTTGTTATTTTGGACTTTTCTGGAACAAAATATTTACATGGGATTCACATAGATCATGCGTATCTTTTATATATGCAACATGGAAAATATATATGACATGGATACTGGATAATTTGAAATACATGATGCTAAATATTGACAAAGGTAGGTCACTATATAAATTGGGCACTATGTCCTTTAACAAATGGATTTAATTTAAAATTTCTTACTGGTAGTATTTAAAAAAATATTTAAAAATAAATACTGACAAGTGATACTGTGGTAAAAAAATTTGTATCTAATAATCGTTAGGGACTTAGGGTTTAAATTACTTAAATTACAAATAACATAATCATCTATCTGTTGTGATGTCAATAAAAAAGTGCAAGAATGATATAAATTTCTATAATTTAGGGACAGAGTATTTTTTGAATTTTAAACATATATGCATGCTTGTCAGGCTATCTAAACATTCAGTAACTTGTTATGACACTTATTTCTACTTGAAAACCTACACAAAATTATTAGAATAACAGCATGTTTAGGGGAAATAAAAACTTTAACTTGATGCCACAAATATGTTGATTCTTACGTAATCTGACAAGATTCCTTTACAATTATTTGTTTTCATAGCATCAAGTGTTAAAATACATAAAATGTGTATAGTATATATGTTAACAAATATGTTAAGGAATAGTGATACCTCATATTAAAGTCAATGTGACTTAGTAATCATCATCTACATTTGTTTAAAAGACAGTGAACCTATTTTAATACAGTATTTAATCCTGCTTCATTAGGTTTCATAAATAAATCATATCCAACATTTACTCCAAATTATTTTATAGCAAAATGAAGCATCAGTTTTCATTTATGTTACAGATTTTTACACATACCCTGGACTGACAATTTTTAGTTTTGGAATTAATATTACAGCATTTAAGAACTGTACAATTATCAGTCTGTTTAGTCAAGTTTAGAATTTTAATGAGAAAACTAGTTTTTTGAACTGGGAAAGTTGTAGCTCATATAACTTTTAAAATAAAAGTCTCTGTAAATTTTTAATTTATGAACATTATTTAATAAGTTCACCTGTTCATTATAATTTGGATTGTGACCATCTAAAATTGATATCCACATCACAAAATACAGAACAAATTATAAGAATTTTGGTGGAGAAATATAAGCTATATTCTTTAAGATTGTGTGATTATATGTTTAGTCTTAAATTGACAGTGACTTTAAGATTTAAAAATATCTATTTCTCAAGCCTTCTGTTAAGGATTTAATACCAGATTATTAGACCACATTAACTTGGGGTGAGTTTAATGTTTAATTTATTGCCTTTTAAATTTGCCTTGATTCATTCAAAGCTTTCCGAATCTGTTGGATGGATCAACATTTTGGTTGATTTGATAGAGTATAACCTTCCATTTTGAGACTTCCAAGATAATCCTCTTCTCCTCTCTGGCTTAGATTTTGCTCTTGGTTTGTTATATTTACCATTTAGGTTGTTTTCTCCACAGTCATCATGCCACCACCAGCCTCCTAAAGGAGATAGATACACAATTTAATGGGTACAGATTCGTATATAGTTACTGTTACTGTAGTTCCCCATGAGTTTATCTTCTTTTCTTATAAATATTACAGTGTTTTAGATGCATGCTTCCCAGTTTTAAATAGTCTAAATAAGTCTCACGTATACCACCAAAAATAGAAAATCTGAGGAAGATTAGAGATAAAATATCTGGTTGAACTATAATGAATACATTAATTATAGTTAAGTTTTCTTCTAGAGAGAAAATACTTATTTGGGATTAGGATTTTAAAAAATTGTCATTGTAGATAATAGCTAATAATGTGGGAAGATACTTTGACGATATGAAAATAAAGTATTGGTATCAGAAAAGTATACCTGAATAACTCTCTGGACAGTTGAAGTGTCCCTTTGCTTTGTGATCCCAAGTAGAAAACACCAAATTTTTGTTTTCTGGGATTGCATTGGGGACATTGCCAGTAATCTCAACTAGATGTAGCGTATAGTTGGTTTCATGATTTCCCAGGTAAAAAGAATATTCAATATAATGTTTGTTGTCTTTCCAGTCTTCCAGCTCGATTCGTAAAACATAATTAGATTGCTTCACTATGGAGTATATCTTCTCTAGGCCCAACCAAAATTCTCCTGAAAAGAAAAGTTTTAAAAATTTGTGAATTATTGACTACAAGTTGGATACTTTTTTGAGTGTTTTTTTAATTGGTGCAACTAATTGAGTTGTTTAGTCTTGAATCCCTTGATCATTTTAGAGTATCTTAAAAAATACCTTTTAAAACAATTTTATTGAAGATAGTTATATGCACAAAAATGTTAAAAATATTAATAGAACTGAAAGTCTGATTATCCTTTCTAAAATGCATATTATAAGACATATTTCACCAGTGAAATGTATTACATTATTATAGATATTTTAAAGTCTTGTCATTGGTCAAGGTATATTTTGCTTCTAAGTCTTTATATGATTAGTTTTACTATCAGCTATTTATTAGCATCTATATACAGTCAAGAGATTTGTTAAGTATTCCCAGAGACCTGGTAATAATATAGTCACTTTCCTGAAATGTAAACCTGGCCTTTTATATTTGCTTAATATATGTTTTCTTTGTAGAGAAAGATGGGAATAAATTTTTAAAAACATTTTAATTGAAAAAGCATGATTCTTAATAACTTCTCTCTAAAATTTTAAAAATTATTTTTATTTGGAATTAAAAACAAATAAAAAATATAAATTGTTCTTTATCATACTCCTTTTTATTAAAGTATTTAATGAAAACAATCACTATTTTCTTATTGCTATTGAGTTAGTAGGAAGCTTCATTTTAAGGATCACCTGGTAAATACAGTACAAATGGGTTATTACTATTTTTTTTTCCAGAATTAAGTGAGTATTCTCAACTTAACTGTCAGCCTTTTATTTTGGGGTTGCACTCACTATTAGAAGATTTGGAGCTATAAAACATCATTAAATATACCTTCTTCGTAGGACTTTAACTGGTAGTTTGAACACAAAGTTCTTAAATGGTCAAACAGTACTGACCATTTAAAATTTTGATATAATAATGAATGTCTTCTACTTTATAAGTGAGTACTTAGACATCATATGGATTTTTATATGTACTTTATGGATTGTAAACATGTTATCTTGCTTATTTTACATTATTATAATCAAAATAGAATAATTTGCATTAACTAATTCATTTTAAGCCACACATTCTATATATTATACTTAAATAATTGAAATTTTAAAATTTGTATTGTATGTCTGAGTTTCCAGGTCCTTTTACCTCCCAATTAATTGATATTTAAAATGTTAATGAGAGAATAGAATGACTAATGCTAGGAGTGGTTCTTTTCACAGCTTATATGTAACAGTTACTACTTATAACATGTAACATTTAATCAACATTTTAAATAATTATAGTTATGATAATTGTAAGCCATCTAATTAAATTGTGATAAGTATAAGAACAGACATGTAATTGTGATAAATATAATTCAAATTATAACAGTTTTAATAAATGTAATTTACTAACAAATGTGTAATTGTTTGATATTATATGAAGGCTTAGACTGCTTCTCGTTCATTACTTGTTTCCTAATGCCCAGTCTATCATAGGTTCTCAGTAAATATTTGTAGATTAACAACTGAATGAATGATTGAATGCAGTCACCTTACCATCGAGCCTCCCAAAACCATATTTGTAGTTCTCCCATGTTTCATTGAAGTTTTGTGACCCATCTGTTCGATGTTGAATTAATGTCCATGGAGTACCTGAATATAATGAATGAAATCATGTTTTTTAGTAGATTGATGTTGACAGATATAAAACTTTTTTTGTTTGTTTGATTTTAATTGGTGGCTTTGTAAGGTAGTCTACTAATGGTATAGCAATACATTTTATTATTTTTTTATGGTCCCAAAAAGTTAAGTGAAGGGCAATTAATGAATTTTAGCATAGCAAACTTGTTGATAATAGTCACTTTAGATTATTTTACAGAGAAAAAGGAGAATATTAAATAAATCCATAAATAAACTAGGTAAAGATAAGCGTTAGATTTATACTAATACTCATGTTATATGTATTACACACACACACACATATAGATATATGTATAAAACAATGATAACTGGGTTAATCTTGCAAATACATAATCAGTAACTTGAACTAACTACTGTTTTCTCCTTAGGTAGGTTTTACCTGTTATAACATCACAGTAGACATGAAAAACTTGAGAGTTGCTGGGTCTAATGGCATACATGCCACTTGTACTTTCACCTCTATTATAAATGGTGGTACAATCAGCAGGAATGCCTAGAATCAATAAAGTGTTATTACATCAGATTTAGCAATAAGAGTAATATCTTTCGAGCTTGAGATTTCACTTTACATTTTGTGAAATTGTGGCATATGTAGCATTTTTTTCAGTAATGTTTATGTTAAAGCATTTTTCTTAGATGGCATGTTGTTTAAGAAAGTAAGAATTGTTCTTACCAAACTTAATTTCTTTAAAAAAATTAATTATATTTTTTAGAGACAGAGTCTTGTTCTGTCACCCAGTCTGGAGTGCAGTGACCTTTAACTGATCATGTCCTAGATCATGTCTAGGAAAATTAATAGGCCAGGAACAGTGGCTCACATTTGTAATCCCAGTACTTTGGGAGACCAAGGTGGGCAGATCACAAGGTCAAGAGATTGAGACTGTTCTGGCCATCATGGTGGAACCCTGTCTCTACTTAAAATACAAAAATTAGCCGGGCATGGTGGCGCACGCCTGTTGTAATCCTAGGTACTGAGGAGGCTGAGGCAGAAGAATTGCTTGAACCCAGGAGGTGGAGGTTGCAGTGAGCTGAGATTGCACCACTGCACTTCAGCCAGGTGACAGAGCGAGACTCCATCTCAGAAAAAAATAAAAAATTTAGTAAACCCTCTATATTATCTAATATTCAAGACCATATTTATATTTCTCTGATTGTCTTAAGTATGTCTTTTGTAGGGTGTAAAAAGAACCCCAGGATCCACTTTAGATGGACACATTGTATTTGATGGATATCTCCTATCTATATTTTAGTCTAGAACAGGCCCTAAGTATAGGGAATTTGATAATAGCTTCAAGAAGGAAACCAACCAAAGTGTCTTACCATCATGTTTTACATTTCTTACTTCATTCAACTGAAGAAAGGGAGTAGTTCTTGGTGCTCTTGGCTTGGAAGAAAGATAAATTTCTGTGGGTTCTTGAATACTAGTCCTTCTGAGCTGATAAAAGAATATAAATCTGTTTTTAAAATGATACTGAATATAAAATTAGGGGAACTCTGAGTAAGGATGTCAAAAATACAATTTGTCTTTCAGTTCATAATGTTATGGCATTTGATGTTTAGATAAACAATGCTATTCAGGTTGTACAGATTGCCTCATCTCCAAATATTTAATCAGGGACATTATTTAATAAGTTAAAATAAAGCAAGGCAATAAAGCTGACATTGGTCAAAAAACAGGAAGGCAACTGCTTTGCTTAGAATATTGTATTTTCTTTATTTATATGAATAGAATATATTTGATATTCTGTTCAGATTTCAAGTTTAATAATTCTCAGTTTTAGATCTTACTGATTTTCAGACTTGCTGTAAAAACATAGTACATAATTTGAACCAGGCTTTCTTGATAATTTGATAATTTTTGACCTGTAAATGTATCTGTAGATGTTGGCAGGTTGGCAAGTTTATTTGCTTATTTTCCATATATAGTTCATTGTTAGTTTAGTAATAACATTTTGATTTAAAAAGTTTGGGTTTGCAATTTATTGAATGATAGTTTTTCTCATTGACAGTAGGAGAAGTAGAATATATAATATCTTGCATTATTCTTTTAGTGTGAACTTTTTGGTGCTGGCATAAATGATATTTCCTAGGACCTTATTTAAAAGGATCTATTAGAAAGTTTACTTGCTGGTTATTACTCTTTTCTGCTAAGTAACAAGGTAATCTTAAAGTTACTTTAATTTTTAGAGTTTTTTTTTTAATTTAAATATGAGAAAGTTGAATCAAATGATCTAAGTCGTCTTCCAACTCAGAAAATCATTGTTTTGGTTTCTTCACACATTTTTATTTTTAGACATAATGTATATTACCATAGTGACATTTTGCTTTTGGGAGCAGGTTTATTTAATCATAGTAAAAGATATAGTTGAAAAAAATTTAGAAAAATAACATTGTAAGAAGGGAAAGTATGGAAACCAAAAGTAGTTGATAAAAAACCTTTTAGCATAACCTACCAAAATTATGTTTAGTGGAAATTGGTGATAACATTTGTTTTATATCTCTTGAAAATGATTTTTTTTGTACCAGTTTCACTTGAGTTTATGTTATCTTCTGAACCCTCTTGAATGGTTGTTTAAGAGTATTACTAATATTTTTAAACTATTCTGTGTATTAGAATACTTAGATGCTGACATAGCTTTATTCTAAACAAGTACTTCTTTCTCCCACTTCACCAGTTGTTTACATTGTAGATTAATTACATCGTTGACTGTTGACCTTCAATTATCAGGCACACTATTTCTAGTAATGCAAGTGATAATAGCACACGCTTCTGTGTGAATATGACATTACATTTATTAATTCAACAGAAATTTGTTGAATGCTTACTGTGTGCCATACAGTATTCTATGTTCTGGAGTATATACAAATAATGGAAAATATAAAAATAATGAAAAAATTTCTCTATTCACAGAGTTTACATGTTAGTGCAGGAATAGAAGACATAAATGTCTATATGTTAAGTAAAGGTAAGTGTGCAGGAGAAAAAGTAGTTGTAGAAGTTTTCAGGGATGGGACCGGGGGTTGTAATTTTTGGTTAAGTGACCTTGGAAGTCTTCATTGAGAATTTTATATTTGATAACAACTCTAAGGTAAATTAAAGAGTGGGCCATGTAGATACCAGGGCAAAAGAGCATTCCAGATAGACAAAACAACAAGGACAAAGGCTTTGAGGTGGTAGCATGTTTGATGTATTTTAATACCAGTAAACCAGTCAGAATGACTAGAGTAGAGGAGGTGAAGTCAGTGAGATGATGAACGGTTAGGTTATCTTGGGTCTAAAGAGCCAATATGAGTGAGATGGAAAGCTGTTGTGGGGTTGTGAGCAAAGAGAAATATGATCTAATTTGAATTTTTATTGGATCACAATGACTGCTATGATTTGACTTTTTTTCTTACAGTAATCCTGTAAGTTCTATTATCTATGTGAGGAAACTGAGACAGAGGGATTAAGTAATTTATTCAAGGCCACACAAAGTTCAGCCATAATTTAAACATAGGTAGTTTATTAGCTTCAGCACCTGCAATTTTAAGAGTTATGTTGATATGATAATTTTACTTATGATCCAGTTAAAGCTTTTAAATAATTTTTGGATTCAGTGTTTTTACAAACCTGTGTGAAAGACGGGACATACCATTAACATATTGACTTACCTGATTTTCTATTTCTTTTATTTGACTGTGCTGTTGGTTTAATTGTTTATATTGTTCTTCCACAGTCTGGAGAAGGTCTTTGATGCTGTTATCTTGTTTTTCTACAAAAGTCTGGATATAGTTGGTAGTCTGGTTAAAAGTTGCTTTCCTCTTTCTTTTCTATTAGTTTTCATTTCCTGTAACACTATCATAATCTAAATTTTTAAATTAATAATAGATTTGAAAAATGAATATTGGCAATTCCTTCCCCTTGTATGCTTCTTTCAAATAGTACATATTTCTGTTCTTAATATTTTATTTGACTTGTACTATCTCTAAAATTTGATTTTTTGAATGTCAAGAGAAAAAGCCTAGCATATTTTAATAGGAATAAATCTTTTCCATTTACTGTATTGCCTTAATCTGTTTTAAACATGGGAGAATAGTTTTAATTTTTTTTAACTTTCTACTTACCTTCAGTAATTTGCAATACTGTAATGATTTAGTGTTCTAGATTGTATTACTTGATTTGTAATTTTCACATAAAATGTAAAGTTTCAGTCTTTTCATATAACATTAGGGAAACAAAAACCAACTTGAAATTATAATGGGAAATTTTATTTTCTGGAGATTATTTTTCTTAAAAATAAAGTGTTTCAACAGTGCAACAAAGTATTTCAAATAACATGCCTTAGAAATATTTTTTTAAAGCATCCACATTGAAAACATAATCATGAACCCTCTTTATTTTCTACTTACTTTAAGCGAAGTTACTTCCGGGTGTTCTGGAGCTTCAGGTTGATTTAGAATTAAGTTAGTTAGTTGCTCTTCTAAATATTTTACTTTCTGTTGAAGTAGAATTTTTTCTTCCAGGAGGCTTTCAAGTTTTGAGTTGAGTTCAAGTGACATATTCTTTACCTCTTCATTTTTCACTTGTAGTTTATATGTAGTTCTTCTCAGTTCCTTTTCTTCTTCTTTGATTTCACGGGTTTGTAATGATAAATCATAAAAAGACTGATCAAAAATGTTGAGTTTTTGAAATATGTCATTAATTTGGCCCTTAGTCTTATGGACAAAGTCTTTAAGACCATGTCCCAACTGAAGGAGGCCATTGGCTAAAATTTTTACATCATCTAACATAGCAAATCTTGAATTTGGCTCTGGAGATACAGAATCAAATGATGAATTGTCTTGGTCAATCCTGGAGGAAATAACTAGAGGAACAATAAAAAGAAGGAGCTTAATTGTGAACATTTTTATCCTGATTATTCAGTTTCAAGCAATGTGGAACTGTTTTCTTCTAGAAGCAACCTAGACTTCTTAACTATATATGCCAATATTTGCCACAGAAAAAATAAGGTTGGCAGGTGAATATAGTTAATCAGTAAGCTGTGTTAACTTGCACGAATGTAACCTTCTTCCACACTGAGTTAGATCAATGCTAAATAAAAACAAAGAAATGAGCAACTAACTTAGTAAGTAATTTGAAATTGTTTTTAACTTTGCTATATTATAAACTACACATTTAGTGCTATGGTGACTACCTGTTTTTAAAAGCTAATTTTAATTTTTTATGATTTTAAGAGATTGACAAGTCAAAAATAAACTCCTTTGTTAGGTAAATTTATTATTAAAGTTGAGAAAAAAATTAATGAATTAAGCATACATTTCCGACAGTACACTTTAGTTCTTTTGGAAGCAGTGTTCCATCACTAAAAAACACCTTCTCTCTCAAGCCTTTCGCCACTCCCTGAGGTGGTGTTATGGCTCTCAATGCTGTATTCCTGTGGTATTTTGTATAAGTCAACGTATGCTCCTTATTTTTTGTCACCATAATTGTTAATTTTTTTGCATCATCTTATATGTCTTAACCATTATTGTATATTATCACAAAATTCCATATATATTAAGTGACATTGAAGACATTTCACTATCCTTTCTCCACTGCGTTCTTTGTCTCTATGTTCTAGGCTCTTTTCCACGTGCTCACTGAAGAACAGTGGATATGTGGTCATCTAGGATCAAACTAGAATTGAATCTTAAATACTTTCAATGTCACAAGCAACTTGCCCATCATAGGTTTTTCTGAAGTTTGTGAGCTTAGTAACAATTTGATAAAATGCATTTAACAAAAAGAGATTAATAACATTTCTTTCTTTCTTTCTTTTTTTTTTTTTTTTTTTTTAAAGATGATGTCTTAATATGTTACCCATGCTGGTCTGGAAATACTGGGCTCAAGCAATTCTTTTGCCTTGGCTTCCCAAAATTTACAGGCGTGAGCCAAGCCAATTAATAATATTTCTAAAAATAAATTTTCTGCTGTGCTTCCAACTTAGTGTTAAAAAGAAAAAATACTAAATGCTGAAATTAAATACTGATTATTCTTACCGAGTGTTCATATTAAGGATTTTGTGAGAAAATAGTATCCTTTAAAACTGCTTAATCTTATTTAAAGTACAATTAAAAAACTGCTTAATCTTGACATATTAATATAGTAAAATTGTTAAGAATATGGGTGCTGGAGTCGGACTGTGGTGTGGGTCCAAAAGCCAGCTCTAACTTTCTACCCTTGGACAAGTTACTTAACCTCTCCATTCCTCCTCATCTGTAAAGCTGGAGTAATTACAGCACATAATTCATAGCATTATGATAATTTAATAGTACATGTAGAACCCTTAGAACAGTGTTGGGCAAACAAGAAGTACTCAAAATCCTAGTTATTAAATCACATGAAACTAACTTTTAACCTGTGTATGTGTATGTGTATATATAATCAACCTTACTTAAAAGAAATTTTTTGTAAAGTTAATAGCTTTTTAACACAAGGAAAAGTTTTATTGTAATGAATTTCAGTGTAAATTATTATACAAAATGAACCATTTCCATTTTTTTTCTTTTTTTTTTTAGAGACAGGATCTTGCTCTGTTGTCTAGGCTAGTGTGATCATAGCTCACTGTAGCCATGAAATCCTGGGTTCGAGCGAGCCTCCTGCCTCAGCCTCCCAAGTAGCTGAGACTACAGATGCATGCCACCATGCCCAGCTAATTTTTTAATATTTTGTAGAGACTTTGTCTCACTATGTTGCCCAAGCTGGTCTCCAACTCCTGACTTCAAGTGAACCTCCCACATCAGCCTCTCAAAGTGCTGGTATTACAGGAGTAAGCCACTGTGTTCAGCCCCAAATTTCTGTTCTGAGAAATACTTCTTCACTGTATAAAATAGACACCCTTCCTTTTGATGACTTAGGATTAAGGGTTTTGCATATAATAGTTACTGTAGAGGTAGTATTCCATAGTGATTAAGAGCATGATTCTGGAGCAAGACTGCCTGAATCAGGATCCTGGCTTTGATATTCTTCAGCTTTGTGACCTTTGGTCAAATTACTTCACTTCTCTGAACCTCTGTTTTCTCATCTGTCCCGTAAGAATAACACCTATTTTATAGGTTTGTGTAAAAAATTTAAAGTTTATATTTTCAGAGCACTTAGAACATTACCTGGTATATCATAAACACTACACACAGTGTTATATATTAGCCATTTTAGTAGTTAGAACTAATCAATGCATTTGTACCCATACTATAGTATTTTACTGGTGAAAATTAATTGCATTTTAAGATAATGTAAATTGGGAAATTTTGTTATAATCTAGATTTTCCGAGTTTTAGTCTCTTTTACCTTTTTAAAGAATTGTATGTTTTCATTAGGTTGTGTATGATTTTTTTTTTTTTTGTTGGGGGGGAGGAAGGCAGGAAGGGAGAGAAGAAGGACGGTAGGGAGGAAGGAAGGGAGGAAGGAAGGAAGGAAGGGAGGAAGCGGGGAGGGAGGGAGGGAGGGAGGGAGGGAGGGACGGGAAGGAAGGGAATCAAGCAATGAGAGAGACATTGCTGACCTGGATCTAGAGGTTTACAAGTTGATTTCTTTTTTTTTGAGAGAAAGAAAGAAAAAAAAAATAAGTAAAGGAGAGGAAGAAAGAGGAAAAGAAAGAGGGAGAGTAAATGGAAATATTGCTTTATTTTGAAAAAAATTGGGTATTAATAATGGCCCATCAATGTTTCATTTAAACTTATGGGTAGGTGTGGTGTGTATTGACTAAAATGTATATTTTGTGTATTTGAAGTGGAGAGCTCTATAAATATTTATTAAGTTTACTTGTTCCAGATCTGAGTTCGAGTCCTTGATATCCTTATTAATTTTCTGTCTCATTGAATCTAAGTCTCGTATCTGGGTGTTAGGATCGTTAGCTCTTGTTGTTGCATTGATCCTTTTACCACTATATCTTTGTTGCTTTAAAATCTATTTTCTCCGATACGAGAATTGCAACTCCTGCTTTTTATTTATTTGTTATTTATTTTTGCTCTCCATTTGGTTGGTAAATCTTTCTCCATCCCTTTGTTTTGAGTCTTTGTGTATTCTTGCATGTGAAACAGGTCTGGATGTAACATGCCGTTGGGTTTTGGCTGTGTCTTTTGATTGGGGGATTTAGTCAATTTAAATTTAGGGTTACTGCCATTTGATGTTGATTGGCTGTTTTATCCATTTGTTGGTGTAAATTCTTCTTTATGTTGGTGCTCTTTACTTTTTGGTGTATTTTTAGAAAGGCTAATACTGGTTGTTTCTTTCTGTGTGTAATGCTTCTTTCAGAAGCTCTTGTAAAGCAGGCCTGGTGGTAATAAAATCTCTGAGTTCTTGCTTGTTCATAAAAGATTTTATTTTTCCTTCAGTTGTGAAGCTTAGTTTGGCTGGATATGAAATTCTGGGCTGAAGGTTCTGTTCTTTGAGGATGTTGAATATTGGCCCCCACTCTCTTCTGGCTTGTAGAGAGATGTTGTAAGTCTGATAGGCTTGCCTTTGTGGGTAATCTGACCTTTCTCTCTGGCTGCCCTTAGTATTTTCTCCTTTGTTTCAACCCTGGTGAATCTAACGATTATGTGCCTTGGGGTTGCTCTTCTTGAGGAATATCTTTGTGGTGTTCTCTGTATTACCTGGGGTTGAATGTTGACCTGCTTTGCTAGTTCAGGAAAATTTTCCTGAATAATATCCTGAAGGGTATTTTTCAGCTTGGATTCATTCTCTCCACCGCATTCAGGTACACCTGTCAAACGTAAATTTGGTCTTTTCACATAGTCCCACATTTCTTGGAGACTTTGCTCATTCCTTTTTATCCTTTTTTCTCTAATCTTTTCTTCACGTTTTATTTCATTAAGTTGGACTTTGACCTCTGATATCCCTTCTTCTGCTTGAACAATTCGAGTGTTTAAACCTGTGCATACTTCTCGGAGTTCCTGTATTGTATTCTTCAGTTCCATTAATTCACTCATACTCCTCTCTAAGTTGTCTATTCTCAGTAGGAGTTCATCAAACCTTTTTTCAAAGTTCCTAGTTTCTTTATGTTGGGCTACAACACGGTCTTTTAACTCACCAAAGTTTGTTATCATCCATTCCTTGAAGAGTGATTCTGTCATCAGGATGCGCTAGTTCTCCATCAAGCCTTGTTCCATTGTTGATGTGGAACTGTGATCATCTTTAGAGGGAGAGGCGTTCTGACTTTGAGTATTCTCAGCTTTTTTACGCTGGTTTCTTCCCGTCATTGTAAATTTATCCTCCTGTCGTCTTTGAAATTACCAACTTTCAGATTAGGTCTCTTGAGTGGACGTCCAGGTTGTTAGTTCCCAGGGCCAGAGCAGTGGCGTTAAAACTGATGGTGCTTTTCTGCCCAGGATTCTCCTGTCGGCTTCCTTCTTGTGTCCCTAGTAGGCGACTCTGCCTTCCCGGGGCTCCAAACCTCGGTCAGAAGGGGAACCGGTTTCGTTTACTCTGCGCTGAGCGCTCCCGCGCGGAGATGCTGTCACAGCCGCTGCCGGGCTCTGGTGTCCTGCTGGGGGCCCTTGTGGGTCCTCCGAACCTGTTTACTCTGCTCCGAGAGCTGCTGCACCGAGGTGCCGGCGGAACCGCTGCGCCAACCACGAGAGTCGCCACCCGTGTGTTTCCTCCACTGGGGGATCTTCTGCTCCGTGAGCGACCAGAATTTATCTGAAAGTGTGGCGTCCTCTAGTTCTCCGCGCCTTCCGAGAGCTGCAATCCCGGGATGTTGGCGATCGGCCATCTTGGATCGTTCCCTTTTTATTGTTTATACTAAAACCTTTGGCATAAACTTTTTTTTCTTTTTAAAGCATACGCATGTAATAGTTTTTGAGAGAGGGTAAAAAAATTATACCTTCCCATTACTGGCCGCTCCCCAGTGATCAGGTTGTGTATGATTTTTAAGTGTCCAATATAGAACCACAAAATGATAAGAAAAAAATATTCTTCATATTCATCCTACCCTTTACTGT